TGCGGGGGGTGCCCGAGTGACCGGGGGGTCCCGGAGGGACCGGGGGTGCCCGTGTTACCGGGAGTGCCCGTGTTACCGGGGGTGCCCGTGTGACCGGGGGGTGCCCGTGTTACCGGGGGTGCCCGTGTTACCGGGGGTGCCCGTGTTCTATCACCCAGGGGCCCCTCCCCACCCAAGAAGGGGAATCAGGAGAAGGAGAGGAGACACATGAGGTTGGAACGGAAACAGATGTAATAGAGTAATAACAAAGATCTAACATCAATACTGATGTTCAAGACACAAAGTTACACTCATCCAGCACTGCAAGCACCACAGCTCCAGCCAAAGTGTGACAGTCACAGCAAACAGGAGAGCAGGCCTCTGGAGCAGAAGAACGGGCAGGACCCTCCAGGGATGGTGCCCACTGAGGTAGGAGACCCATTCCCAGCCAACTTATATTGGAGTGAACATTGGACATTTATGGTACAGAATATTTCTGTTGGCCAGCTTGGGTCGGCTGCCCTGGCCTTCCATCCTCCCAGATTTAGCATGTGGGTAACTCAGAACTGCTGGAGACCTTGGTCACTGTGGAAACCCACACACCACAGCTGGCCATGATCTAAAACAAAGTGTCTCATCAGCTTTATTCCTACTGAGCTGGGTGCTCCAGTCTTCTAAAAAATGGATCTTTCCTGAATAGAAAATTGATCCTGTAATTCTACCCCAGCGCAACTTACTGCACAACTGTCTTTGAAGCTTATTCCTTGGCCACCCCATAATACTTTCATAAACAGGTTGCCTGCTTCCTTGTATGTGTTCCTGCTGCTCATCTGATGAGTGAGAAATGAGACAGGGTTTCCTACAACTGAATAATGTATTATTTTCTGTCCTACATCAGCAACTGTGTTTGTTGCGAGTCTTGAATGAGAAGGAGCTGAATTAATACAGAAAGAAATGTTTGTTGCAGGCCTCCTGAAGCCTTTTGTTTACTTCCTGCACAGCAGCACCTCACTCAATGGCAACCATTTCTGACACCTGGCAGGGTTTTGCAGCATATATGCAGCACATCAACCTTCACATTACTGCAGAGTGTGTTTTTCGAAGACCATTTTTGGGGCTCTATCACACAAACATCGAAAACACACTCTCACAGAGATGAAGTGACCAGTGATAACATTAGGACTCACCCTTCCTGCAGGGAAGTAGTAGCTCTGCTACTCGGAAGGAAGCTCTGCCTCATTCCACAAACCTCAAAGCTTTCTTGTTCAAGTTAAAAATACACACTGGAAGTCTTTCATTCTGATTATTGGATGGGGAGCCTGAAGTTCTTGATTTCAGAACATCGGACTCATTCAGAGCAAGTATAGCAGTCAAATTATGTATAAACTGCATCATTTAAAACATTTATTATTTAGTGGCTCATATTCCATGCATCACTTGTGCATGGTTACAATCATGGAATTATGCCAGCTTGTCTCCAGACTTTTCTTGGAAGCCCTTGCCACATTATTTTTCCCTAAGTACAAAGGCCTAAACAAGCCTCAGGCTGAAAATAAGAGTGGCTCAGAGCAAGAAGCCAACTTCTGTTCACATAAATACATGTGTTTTGAAAAAGCATTGATAAATTACTTTGAGAAAATAGGTATTTTGAAGTAATGGTTACTTACATAGAAGAAACTGCCTAGGCTGACACCAGTTCTCCACATTATCTTCCAGGGTAATTCCACCATACTTTTAAGTGTATGTGATAACAAATTTCCTATAATATTAAGATTCTGAAGTACTCAATTGGAAACAGACAACTGCCTTAACTTAAGTTGTTTACCCTGAGTTGAAAGTGTAGAGGGTAAAAATGCTGAATTAAAGCACATTGCTATGTAAATGTAGTTCATTTTAGGTCACTGAAAAGTGTCCTCATTGTTTAGGGGTGAATCCATTGATGGATCACTGACTAGTGATGCCAGGCACTGAGTAAGGAGGAGGTATGACAGGTTGGCTTCAAATCACCTTTCAGGTCTCGGAACATCCTAAGCAGCCAGGAGCAATTTAGCAGTGGTGCCATCCTAAGGTGCTCGCTGACTCCAGCATAATTTACAGCCCAGCACACAGAATATCCAACCACAACAGCTTCCTTGGTGTAAAAGCAAGGCCTACCATAAAAACAGTACTGCTTCACTGCCAGCCAGCAAACCTCTGGTTTTCAGAGGAGAAAAAGAACAGATTCTTTTATTTTTCCACACAGAATGGCAAAATTCCCCCTTTTAAAAAAGAAACCTCTGTTTGCTAGAACTGCATTACCTGCTCAGAAAGCAGAAGCAGGCAGAAGGTTTCACACCAGGTCTTTGAAGACCAATAGTAATCTTTTTATGACAGCTGCTGTAATAGAATTGAATTTGAGTAAGTGAGAAGCTCTATGCACCTAGTTACGAACTAGCTCCTAGCAGTTAACATTTTGGTGGCAGCATAGTCCCTAAACCTCCAGTCATAACAAGAACTTTGATTTATTCCAGAATAAGAAATCTGATAGGGATTATACCTGTTAAGAAATTTCCTATATCTTTGGGTGCAGTTTAAGCAAGCAGAAAGTGACTGTCGTGGTCTAACCCCACATTTATCCCCAGTGCAAAAACACTTAGAGGGAAAACTTCATCCTGTTTACTGTGACAGCTACCGAGCGATACATGATGTCCGTAGTACACACAAGGAACTTCTGATAAAGAACAACTGTCAGTTATCTTTCTGGAGAAACTTGTAGGAAGTGGCTGACTGGACAGGTTTCACGATAAGGGGATTTGTAAGCAGCAGTCCCAAAAAAGCAGCACCTTCAGGGATCAGGTTTCCTGACCTCTGGAATTACACTTTTCCCTTCAAAGATACAGAACCTGAAATTTGAACCGTGAACAAACACACAAGCTTTTAATAGTTACTTCAAATGATTTGTCTTTCAAAGAGGCACTACAGATGTCAGACACTGTTGACCCAAGTGCCTTTTCCCCTTGCCTGAAGTATTTGCTTTTCACTTTCCACATCTTTCCATGCTATTAAATAGCAGCAACTCAACTTGTTACTCCTTTTAATGTTACCAGATGAACGAAAAGTTTTGTCTTCACAGTAAGTATTCCAGTGAAACAAGCTTTCAGTGAACTCCACTATGCTGTGCCAAGAGAAACAGGTAAATATTAATAGCTTGCTTTCAAGAACCATTAGCACCATTTAGGATTTCAGTATATAAAAGCTGATGACCTAGCAAAGCCAGCAGCTTTTTCTGCACATTGTGTCCCTCTGAACAACTGCAAAGTGACACAAGAGAAGTTTACTAAGAGAGAGGGAAAGACCAAGCTCAGCATGACTCAAAGACCCAACCCTACAATTTGGCAGCAGAAATGCCATGACTGTGGTGCAAGAACTACCTTGCACCTAGTCCTTTTCTCTTCAGAGAAAAGTTGTACAACTGACCTTGAAAAAAAAAAAAGCAAAACCCCCAAAATTGCAGTGTGATTTGTATCCTGCTTTCTGAGCCACAGCCAGACAAGTTGCCATGGTGGCCTGGGAATACTTGCCTTCCTGTCTCCTTCCAGGAATAAGTTTCTTATTTTCTTTCTTACCAGACATGTAATATTAGACTTTTTTTCGAGGTGCCCTCCCTCTGTCCTCACCTCCATTCCAAAGCTGCCCTGAGCCAAACATGCTTGGAGTACGTGACTGGAGGATTCCTGACCCCTGGTATATGAAATCTCATTTGTCAGCACAGAGGAGAGGGAAGAGACTTCATGTAACATCCAAACAACAACAGTAAGGCATTTCAACAAAACAGTTCCTTTATTTCTCCATACCACAGGCTCCTATAGCATGGCATCATATAGTGGTTGCATTGAACTTGGAGCTTAGGACTATATGTTTAATGTTTAAACATACTTTTACTTCCTATTCTGCTGCTCTGACTTCTAGCATTGGAGGGACTGGAATTTCCCCAGGAAAGAGCAAGAGAAACACACTTTGGAAACCATTACAGCTTAAAAGCATAACGTGAAGAGTTCACAGCACAGGCCTGCAATTCTAAAACTGGATGGAAGCAGATGGCTCCCCAGACTCTAAGTCACCCTATTTTTTATTTTTACTTCATGTGCTTCGTACCAAGAGGATATATTTAAATGGAAAGTGACAAAAGTCTAAGCCTTTTACTGAAAGAAAGTACCACAGAAAATATTTTGGCATGAAAATTAATTTATATTGTCAAATCTTCACTTTTTTCCTCTCTGTAACCCCCTCAAGACCTGTTTTTGTATTCATTCTTGTACCCTTTTAGTAAATTAAGTAGTTTTTACCTATTGTAGTACTCTTATGAGCACTGGTAGCACTTGTTATTTACTTCTTTTCAGCTAAACTTCTGCTTTTGAAACCACCAACACAAAATAACCACTGGGGTTTTTTTGCTCAGCTTCCTTTAGCCCATGGATGCATGCCCCTACCATGGTTTCCTGCTTTCAAAATACGGCTCATCTTACATTCCCAGATATCAGACCCTGGGAATGTATGTAACAGTTCAGCTCTGAAATACTGAGCTCTCTGAAAAGGGAGAGAATAGAGGACAGGAGGGCAAAGCTGGGAGTGCTCATTTTATTTTAAATAAACTCATTGTTCAGCAAGGTCTTTTTGGTCTTGCTGTTTGTCTCTTCTGTTCTTAGGTTTTCTAAACTTTGGAACTTTTCCACAACCATTTTTGGCTTTACAGACACTTTCAAATCTTTTCCATAAACCCAGCTGCGGACTGTTGACCTATTGCACCTCAAGATTTGAACTAGCAGGACCATTCAAATTAGCAGTGGAGAATTCAAAGTAAAAGAACCAGAATCCATGGTGAAATTATTTCTTCAGTGTCCTTCACAATTTTAAGTGCCCTTCCTCCATTGCTGTGCTAGCTGGATGCCACAGGTTTTTGTTTTGTCCCCACTGATCTGCCTTGCAAACAAGGGTAGTTATTTACAGAAAGCCTTTATCAAGGCATATTTGTTTTCAGTTTGTTAAACTCTAACCTAGCCATTGCTAAAATGTGGCACTACAAAGATTTCGTGTAGTTCTCACCAACTTGTTGGCTGGACAATGCTTGCTCCTCCACATTTCCAGCTGCTTCATCTCATCAGCATGCAAGTGCTTCTCTGTAACCAGGGCTCCATGACTTTGCTCAAGATCATAGAATGGTTTGGATAGGAAGGCACCTTAAAGATAATCTAGTTCAAACCCCCCTGCATGGGCAGGGACACCTGACACTTGATCAGGTTGCTCAGAGCCCCATCCAACCTGCCCTTGAACACTTCCAGGGAGGGGGCATCCACAGCTTCCCTGGGCAACCTGTTCCAATACCTCACCATCCTCACACTACAGAATTTCCTCCTAATGTCTAACCTAAATCTCTCTTCTTCCAGTTTTAATCCATTACCTTGTTACCTTGCTACAAGCCCTTGTAAACAGTCCCTCCCAGCTTTCCTGTAGGCACCTTCAGGTACTGGAAGGCCACCCCCTAGACCCAACAAAAAAAACAGGTAAGAAGCAACAACTGCTTATTATTTATGCAGTGGAACAAAAGAAGTTACCTGGTTGCAGCTAGTGGGTACGTACAAATGCAGAGCATATCTATATGCATATTATTGTTCAAATTGTTTCATTTGGAAGCTTTCTAGAGCACTTTAGCTCTGCCAAGCCTGCTTAATTTTGCTTTCTACAATGCAAAAGGCAAAGAGGAGAATCTGAAAGAGTGGGAAGAGAACAATGTACAGAGGTGAAGGCATGATTATGGGAAGCAGGGAGCAATGCAGAGGTTTGCTTTGATGCCAGAATCTCACCACAGAGATTAACATGCCTTCCCAAATGAGGTTGGGAAAGTCAAAAAGGAAAACAATGAAGTTTATTAAGAAAGATTCCAGGTGGTAGGCTTGCAAGAGATAAATCTTTCCAGTGTTTGAGGTCACTACTTACTCAGGAGAGAAACTTTTGGTGGATGAAGGCACTGTTACGTGTTTGGCATATCAAGAAAGCAATAGCTAAGGAAAGCTAATGCTCAACAGGGATACTCTCCTCACCACTTAGGTACAGTAAATTGAAAACAACTTCATTTACATGTGGCAATTTACATTAGGCAGCAGTTACAGCACCCAAGCCATTTGCATGCAGAACAAGACACCTCTGCACCAGGAGCTTTTTACACCATGAAGCTGAAAACCACTGGGAAGACCTACATGCTATAGCATGACCATAACAGGCACCATCCTGTCATTGCTGGTATCTTCAGCTTTGCCTCCTCAAAATTTCTGGTGCAAGGAACTTAAACAAGCACAGTAGTTTTACCACTCCCTATTACAAAATTATTTACATAGGAAGAAGGGAGCATATCTTAAGAAAAACTAACCACCCAGAACTCAGACCTTCTGGGGCTTTCTGGTCCGTTCGGCGCCGCCTGGGGCTCCGGTTCTCTCTTGGTTTTTTTTACCCCCAGGCGGAAAACCTGCTGTGCCACCTGCAGGAGAATTTTGAAGCGCTGACTGAAAAGATAACGTTGAGAAATACCCGCTTTGGAACCTGGGTTCCTCGCTTCGGGGAGAGGTTCCGTGCTCCTCCGGCTGCGGCTCCCACGCTGGAGCGGGCTTGATGTAGCTTTGCTGGCCGAGCGGCTGTGTAAAGAGGGGCTCTGCCTTTGAATACCGGGATGTGCTTTTCCTAAACATCTGATTAAGCTACAGTGACTGACCTTGTTAAACACCTACGATGTAAATTCAGTTGAATGGCCCCCCGAACCCGTTTAGTTTTCACTTCGCTAAGAAGGAAATCCTAATAAAGGTCTGACTAAAAGCAGTATCAGCTCCCAATGAGTTAGTCTCTGTGCTTTTCAAGTAAAATAGGCAGCAAATCACGTGGAGAGATTCTGAAGGTATATTCAAAAGCAATCATCTACAAAAATGCCACTTTAAATCAGCAGCATATCCCTGCACATTGTTGGTTTAAAAACAACTGCTAGCTGCTAAGAGTGGGGAGGTGACCACTCAAAAAGACAAATTAAGACCTGAAGAGGCTCTCAGCTTCCTCATTCAGTGCACTCTCAGAAACTACCTCTGGTTTATGAAACTGAATTGATTACATTTTCGAGTTTTTTCTGTAACTTGACCTTTCAGGAAGCAGCTGCTTTAATGTTTTAGCAGCACTCGTGTTCTGATTGCCTATACTGACTGTGTGGGATCACCTAAAACAGTTCCTTGGAAAGAACCTCTCATAGGGAACTTAATCCAGTTCACCCATGGGCATGCAGGACATTTGTAGATGTTTAGAACTTGAATACTTAGCTGTTGCAAAAGAAAATGGGACTGTCTTGTAATAACACAACCTTGTGCGTGCTTCATCTTGCATTAGTATCGAATATGAGTAAAAGGCTGAGACATCTGCAAGAAAGCTGCTTGTTATTTCTCACAGAAGAAAATAATAATTCTTATTCATAAATTGTTTAACTTTTTACTGCAAGAAATGGGCGAGCACATTGACGATCTTGTTGCTGACCTGATGACAGAGGCTGGGATAGAAAACACCGATGAAAACTTGAAAGTAAATTAAGTTTTACTGTATTTTATATATTTTCACTTAGTTTAAACTAGGGCCAGCACCTACTATGAAAATACTGCTTAGCTATTTATCATATTTGCATTTATTTTAAAGTTACTGATCTATTTTAAAATATTTTCACTTTCCTTGAATTTCTTTTTGGGATGAGCCAGAGAATGCTACTTTTTCAAAATAAAACAAACTGTAGGTCTGTGTCCGTTCCAGCTGAGTGTCCTATGTAAGGCAGAGGACAATCCCAAATATGTAAACTGAGGCTGTACATAAGTCTACTAATCAAGCTGACTGAGGATTCTTACTGGTATAGATTTATGTTCATCTCTTTGAACCTGCTTCAGCTTCTCAGTGTGGCTTGGCCCACTTCTTAATGACAGTAACACCAAGCACAGAAATCATTTGTGCTTGAAGCAGCAAGATGGGGAATGGAAAGAGCAAGGACATCCTAAGGATTATTGTCAATCATGCTACAGTTCAGGACTGCATGCTAGATTTTATCTGCTGTTGCATATGCCAACCCCCACCACAATGGATGCCTTGGCCTATATTCTTAGAAAACAGCATTGCTTCTGTGTTCTGTGGGTGCTAATGTCTTCCTGTTGTTGTTGCATGCCTTCCTGATTCAAACTGACACACAGCAATTCTTGTCATGTAGAGACTGCTTACACAGTGAAAAACAAGAATGTTTGTAAATATATTGAAGTAATTTAGGCCTCTATCCATTTTGATGCCTTTTTCATGCTAAGCTATGACATAATTTTCAGAAATTGAGACAATCCATAAAGAGGTATTTAACTGTACAGAGATCTTCCTATTTTTATGCTGAGTCACATGAATGAATAATGAACCACTAACCTACTTTTTAATTGTTTCTTTGCAGCACTGACATGAGGATGTGATCAAGATAAAGGAAGAACAGCATCACACTGCATCTGGCAGCTTACAACTAGTGTCACAAGTCACAAAAAGCATCAATGAAAACAAATGTGCTTGCATCCTATCACAATGTGTCTTTTTAAAAAATTATTATTATGGCCTCAGGAAAAAAGTAGAAAGCTGGGTTTATTCATCTAAATGGGACACTGCAATTGAGAAAGAATTTAGTTTAGGGAAAGGCAAACCCACTATTTTGGATCTATATCCTACACAGGGAACCTGATCTGATATTATCACAAAGGTGCCTTTGCAAAACATAGGTCCAATGAATATAGGCTGTTCTGCAATAAAAGAAAGTGCAGTATTTGCAGAGATTACAAGCGTTCAGTTGTTACTTCTCACAAGCCCACCCAAAGCGGTGCAGGTAACACTGTGCACACCTGTGCAGGTAACATCCTCCAGGTATGCACATTGTGCCAATTTTAGCTCTTTTAATATTAGCTGTTTTGATGAAAAAACTATTTTAAAGACTTGGAGATAGGTAAGTAATTCCAGTTACCAAGCACATCCTGAACAAGACATGGTAGAGTCAAAGAAAAGAGGAGATCTGCACTAACATTAAGGTCCTTGTACACAAGGACACTGAAACTTTTTCCAGGAAAGTTTTGTGTTGTTTTTTTTTAAACTTAAAGGGAAACTTACAACAAATGCAGAAATGTAAGCATTACCAGGTAAATCCCTCAGTAATGAGGGATAAATGTACTGTTTAGAACTTTGGCAGGTTTTAATACGTAACAGCTATTACAGTCTTAATTAATACCAAGGAATCAATCTACACTTGACACAGTCCTGGGCAACCTAATCAAGTGGGACCTACTTTGAATGGGAGGTTGGCAGTCTCTTCCAACAGAAATGATTCCATAATTAATAAACACTGGAAAACATATTAACTTCAGCAGACATTTAGGACCCTGTGTTTTACTTTTTTGATTCATTCTAAATCCTCTACAGGATACTTGATGGTAAAAAAGCATACTCTGCTTTGTCTTGTGACAAACTGGACCTAAGTATGGGGTGTCTCCTCTCTGAATAGTCTGGCTTATTTTTTCTTAATCCAGTAAATATGCAAGTACTAGTAAAAAAACCCAACAACAACAACAAAAAAACCAACAAAAAAACCCACAAAACCAAAACAACAACAAAAAAATCCAACCAAACCCCACACAACACTGGCTCCATTACCTCAAAATAAAAGTTGTCAGAAATGCAAATAGAAATTTCAAAAGCCATGCCACAGTGGAATTCAATCCAAGTCTTCTGAGTATATACTCATTTTAGTACACCATTAGACAAACTGGAAGTCAAATGAGAGAAAGCACGGATCATCTTTTCTTCAACTGTTGACTACACAGCCAGCTCTGGACCTGCAGTTACCATTTGGCACTGCTGACTCCTGTATGCATAGTCATGATGAAAAAGTAGTCCATCACCACAAGTCAATCAAGTTGATGGGGGAAGGTGTGCATTAAGAAATGGAAAATGTTGTCTGAGTTTTGCTAAATATTAATAAATGCACCTGAGTGTTTTATTCCTATTCTAGTGGATACAGAAGACAAAGATCCTATGCAATGAAATCATGACAGAAGCAATAAGCCTTCATCATTATGACTTGGCCAGCAATTACATTTGCTTTCATTCTCAAATTTAATTAAAGAAAATTAAGGTGAATAAGTGGAACTCACTTTATTCTTTTAAAAAAGCTATACTATTAGTTTTTTCAGATACTTGTATAACAAAAGCAGTTGAAATGTTTTTCTGCAAACAGACTGCTAGTGTACAAAAATACAAAATACAGGACAATACAAAGTCTTTAAAAAATAAATTCAAAACCAACCCAAAATTCAGTGACAGTATTACTGCAGGCAGTTTCAGGGTTTATCATCTGCTTTTCCAAACAGACTTCATATCTTTTAAATAATTCAAAATATGCTCAGAGTTGAAGGATTTGTTGGGGTTTGTTGTTTTTTTTTAATATATATATGTACACACATACACAAGAATAAATTTAAGACAATGTATGATTGAAAAAAAACAAACAACAAAGAAAAACAGCCCCAAAGACATGTTAGTATCTGTATTTAGTGGAATAATCTTTTGGTGATACCACCAAACCTCGACCTTTGCGGGCTCCTCTATAAACAGTTTCTATAATGTCAATCATCTCTTGTTTATCTTCCATTGCCCAGTTGATCTTGTTGTTATTGCCTGTACCTAAATCAATCATGATGTGTTTGTTCCTTTAAAGGGAGAGAAAAACACAGAAGTTAACACGGTATTATAATTCAGAAAGAAACTTTATATACCCCAGAAGAATGCTTTGTAGGGTTCAAAAGAAGCCCTTGTAACATAAGCAGGCTTGCAAAACAAGCCTCAATGAAGGAGCATCCAATCCTGCCACTCAAATTGACATTTTACTGCCTATTTCTAAAGCTAGAACAAAGACTGCCAATGTAGCCCAAAGATTGCAAATCAGTGCAATTACCCTTCAGCATATTCCTCATTCTTTATATTTCCTTCCCACTACTGCTGAACACCAGAGAGCTCCTAACTTGTCAGTAGCACATTTTATCTCATCAGTATAGACACCTTAGTTCCAGAAAAATCTAGTACTTTGTGTATATCTTTAAAGGAAATTTGACAAGCTTGACTGCAGTATTATTGAGGTATTCTAGAGGGAGTTTTCAGATTTATAACTACAAACGATGGATAATAAAAACAGTTTTCACTCACACTAATAATCTATTATCAAAACACTGTTACTAGGCTAATTGGGAAACAAGCCATTTAATCACTTTACTCTTTTGTAGAGCAATGCAAATATAAGCATCAGTATGCTGATATGCAGCTAGAAATTATCTACTGAGACTCCGTTTGACACACAAAAAATTTAACTGAGTTCCATTCTAGAACCTTCACATACCTGAAGAAAAACATGACAGTACAGGGATCATACAACTCGTACATCTTATTGAAGTCTGGTACTTCAGTGATATCCACAAGATAAATAACAGCAAAGTTTTTAACCTAAAAATAAGAAAACAGGAAATATAAAAGCAGTATGTATTACCAAGCCTTTAATTTTTTGTATTACTGATTAAAACACACAAGCTTTCATTATCGCATCATTTATTTTCGAAAATATTAGGTCATAAAATCAAAGTAAAGTCTTGCTATTATGTTTAATTGCAGTGACCAATTAACACGGAAAATATTTTTAAACATAGCCAAGATGCTCATTTTACATCCAGTATGAGGTAGAAAGATACTATGCTAAATCAACATCCAGAGAAACAAATATCCTTCGTATACATTTGATATCTCCAAGAAACACGCACAGCTCTAAACAAGTAGCCTAAGTGTTTGTACAAGTCAAACTGACATTTTGCCTCTGTCATCAGCTGCTTATAGACTTCAGAAAATTAATGATCTAAAATGCTCTGATGCCTGCCTCTAAGAATTTCTTCCCCCTCTAAACCATCTGTGTAACTAGGTTCATCAAATAAAAATAAAATTGATAATTTACTAATAAAAACTGATAGCTTTTTTTGAGAGGTTTAAAGCGAGAACAGGAACATCAAATTTAATTAATACTGAAAAAAAATCCAAGTTTTTTTTAAGCTATTCTTTGGGCAAACAGGCTTTCATTTTGCAAAGTTACTGACTAAAATGCACAGGAATCCCTCCCCTTTAATGTCACAGTTAATGTCTTCATTCCTGAAAGAAAACCATGTCACATTTTTGTTTCCTAGGTGTAGGATATTTAGCCTTAGGTGGAATCAGGGGAAGTGTTTGTTTTTAAACTTAGCTCATAGGTGTATAGTAGAAATTAACATGCAAACACACCCATTAAAATATGTCAGTTGACATCTAACTTACACAAACCTTTAACTGTAACCATACATTATACAATGAAAGCACAACCTTGCCCCCAGTCCTTCCTTACATATAAATACTATTTCAGTCCTTTAATTTTGCTATTAAACATCTGGAAATACTAGGAATAACAATTTCTGCCTGATGTATCAATTTTTTATGTGAGTCCATAAAACAGGATTAGACTGTACCAGAAAATATTATATATGGTGTACCCTGTCCTTAAACTTCCTAGGAGGCACTTTAGTTGATAGAGTATGAAAATGTTGACAAAAAAACGGAAGCACACAGTAAATAAACGTTGGACTTCTGCTTCAAAACAGTTTCTAAATTATGAAAAATAATCACACTTCAAAGATGTAACTAAGTATTAGTAGCAAAGAAAGTAAAATCTCTTATGGGATGAAATAGCATCAATCATTTTTACTGTGCTTTAATGGCGCAAGTTATAATGCTGCACTCTGTCAGCAATCTAATGGAAACATCCCATTTAAGCCATGTTCCAAATCAGGCAAGGACCTTGAGAATCCTAGTTATTCATAAAATTAACAACCCTCTGAAGTGATCATTCAAGCCCATTCCATTTATATGAAAGATTTCTAAGAAACTTAATAAGTCAGAGTCAACAACATAGCTGAGATGCGACTGGACTGAAGTTACTCCCTGGCTAATCTTCGGAAGCAAAAGACAATTGTTTGGTTTTTAATAGAGGGAAAAAAAACCAAACAAAAACAAACCTGAAAAGCCATTTTTATTTTCTTCTTCCATATTTGGCAACTCTGACTAACTAAACATAACCTTTGAACAATTATTTCATTTGCAGATTAGAAAATGATTCTAAGTTAAAGCAAGGATCAATACAACATTCTTAAGGACCTGCTTTGTTCACTGAAAGATTAGTCCAAGGACACTGTATGTTGCACCAGAACACCAATACAAAAGCACTGCTAAACCAAAATTTCACTTCAAGGAACTGTGTGCTCCCCACAACAACAAAAATTTTAAATTTAGTTTTACGTTATACGTATTTAACTTAGCTCAGCTGTTGCAGAACTAGAAACACTTGTCACTACAAATAAGCATCACCAGCCTAAGACTGTAGAACAGAATTATTCAAATCTTAAATAAATTATTACATAAATTTCACTCAACAGGACTGGATCACTCAAATTACCTTTGCACAGAATATATGCAAGTTATTACTGTAATCCAAGCATGTCAGACATTACCTGAATCTTCCTTCTCTCCTACATGGGAATAAAAGCACAGCTACCTACTTCTGTAGAACTGAAACTGATGACAGCCACTGTTCGGAAGCTTGTATGAATTCTAAAGCAGACCTCAAAGCTAGATACTGACTCTTATATTTGCATTTAAAACTTTTAAAGAGGGTCTATTTTCTCCCTATGGCTTTCTTGAATTCAAATTTGGCAAGACCGCCACTCCAGAACCACTTAGCTTGCAAGTACATTGAATAAGGACGCATTTTGTTGAGACTGGCCACTGACTGAAGAGGCTGCCCAAGACATGGGCCTTGCCATGCAACACTACAGTACGTTCTGTAGCAGCCAGGCATTGGGATTCAGGCCGAAGAAGGAACTGGACCAAAACATGGGTAAGAGGCTAAATACAGAGAGGGGGATGCAGAAGCACTGCCATGGCCATCACAGCTACCATTTAGTGGCCATCCCAGACTGGGCAGGCTTGTCACCAAGAGGCACTTTACGTCAACAGAAGACAAGCCCTATGGAACTTCTCAAATGTCTCTGCACAATATTGACCAGTCTAAACCTTGGAGCAGCACTTACTGACTCAGACTGAATATTGGAGACAGTTTCACAGCTGTACAGAGCTGCATCTGAGCCAGCTTCCAACACAGCTGGTTCCAATTCACAAAGCTTTAGCTTAGGCTTCCCTTGAAGCAAAAGCAATTGAAGTATTTCCAGATTCAGGCTGGTATGGATGCAGGAGCTGATCTATACTTGAGATAGTAAATCTACGAGACAAACTAAAGCTTAACCTCTCCTCACCCCTTGGGAAGTGAATCCCCAGGTGGAGTTGTCAGTTCAAAAACTACATTTGTATATAGCATAAGCTTAACTATCATTTCTAAGCAGTGGTTGCTAAGAAGTTTTCTTTCTGACTATTGAACTATAACTGGGAATACAGTAGAGAGATCTCAGAGCAAGAATTAGATACAACTCTGAGCAAGCAAACCACACTAAATAAAAGGAGCTACAGATGTAACAATCGAGATTCCACTAAGTTTAATATAAACCAAAATGCTACTATCCAGACAATATGTAAAAAACCTTGTGGTATATCAGAAATGAAGAGATAATAACACAAGCTTATTCTTAAACTATTTAACCTTGTAACATACAATAAAATATAGTAAATTTGTTGTAGTAAGTCAGTTGCTTTCTAAGAAAACAACCACAACCTTCTAGTGATTGATCTTCTTTTGGACAGCTCCACACTTGCCCAACACCTGAAGATAAAAGCATTTTCAGCAGAAAACCAAGACAGATACTAACTCTTGAATGTATTTATTTCTGACCCTCTGACTTCTGTTACCTATCTTTCAGTTCAAAATTTTCTGACTTACCAGACCATCATAGCTGTCCACGGGGACAGGATGGAGTTGGAGACTAGAAGCCAAACAGCACCATGGATTCAAAATTTTATCAGACTTTAATAAATTTGCCTTCAATTTTGGTTGTTTGGAGGTTTTTTCCTTTATTACTGTACCTTCTAATTTTCAGGCTATTTTAATACTTCACAGAACTGAATCTGCTTGGGTGGACTACTGTAACATCCTTAAACTGAACAGCTGAAGACTATAAAGCAGAGGAATCTATACGATCCTCAACATCAGATACAGATTTAGCATCCTATATTGATCAATACCATAAACTTCCTGGTAAATAACAAATAGATGTAGGAAAAACTATATGCCAGACAAAATAAATCTCACTTGTCCTCTGAAGTTCTCCTCTCTGACTTTCTTAACAATTTCATCCCCCCCAAAAATAAAGCATTCCTCCAACATAAGAATGCCACAACAATAATCAATGACCAGGAAGAATGGCAACAATCATTAAGTTCCTCTACATTTCTATTAGTAGCAAGCAACACTTTTTTCGTTCGTAAGACTTCCTCTCTCTTTAAAATATCACAGTCCTATGTTTCCTTATGGCCCAAAGTGCATGGAGCAACACCTAAGGAAATCTGAGACGACATCTAAGATTTATCTTCTCATCTTCCTAACAATGTTTTTTCTAAGTTTAGATGTCTTTATGGAAAAGGAAATCACAGAAAAAAAAAAAATACAGGAATTAAGACTAGTTTTTGTGAGAAAGAATTGAAGAAGCCTAGTAAACTTCTATTACTTAACTAAAAGAGGCTGCAAACATGGTAAGCACAAACCTGAAAGTCTGTACTACCAATATTCATGTAAAATTTTGTTCTAATTATGCTGTAAGTTCAGGTGATAAATTTATGTGTGAAAAGAGAAAGCCATTACACTAGTGAGACCAATACCTATAGCTAACAATTTTGAAAACGACAAACATGAATAAAAGGATTAGCTTTGCTCAACTTTAATTACAAACATCAGTAACTATCATATAAATATATTATTTTATAGCTCCCTCTTTCCTCACCCTTCCCTTTCTTGTAGCCTTAACAGAAAGGCAGAGGCACAACTAATACTTGAGCAAAAGCCACAGCTATTCAGACTTCTGATTACAGTTAAATAAATGCAAAACACTTCAATCCTCCCAGACCCTACAGTGACCCAACATAAACTAGTTAAAGTGACCTAGTTTCCCAAGAGGTTACTGTATTTACAGAATTTACAGTGTTCAGTCCTAGACCTAGAATGGTTTTAAAGATTTTTTAAAGTTAAAATAATAATAAAAGGATTTTTAAAAAGGAGTATTAAAGTAATTCAGCAGCCAAGGCCCTGTATTCAGAGGATGGATTTTATAATTTTGAGCCTCCTTTTAAAGAGTGTATTTTTAAAATAAATTCTTAGATATTTGGTTGAAAACCTGACAAAGCAGAAGTCTAACTACCATTTGTTTTGAATCAATTACCATTTGTTTTGAAACTCAGTGAAACCTTGCTTCTTTTTCATCTTATAACACTGGGGGGAAAAACAGTCAACTGCAAGTGAAGTATATTTCAGTGAAAATAAACTGGTTTGTATTTTCACATAGTGTTCTAGCTTTTTTTCTCCCAAAAGGATTCAAACTGAAAAAATAAATAAACCCTGTTTTCCTATTATAATATTACTGCTACCCAGCAAGATACTACAGACTAAAACAATATTGCACGATGGTAACCAATGTAAAAATATGGCTACATTTTCTTCAAATGTAGCACCCAATTACAGCATGTTAACATTCTGTTTTATTCTCTAGTATAAACACCTTTACAATTGGAACTTTTACTCACTCTTTAAAACAGCAGAGATCCAAACATGTCTTGTAAGCAAGAGGATGAGGAAGGATCTCCCTCTTTAATTTGTCATTTCTGCAGAGGGAGATTTTTAAATAAGAAGTTACATTGTTCTTTCTTCCCCCTGTTACCCCTAACTGCCAAGATGCCTGCCAAACTGCCAAACACACTGCTGAAAGTCGATCCCACCATGTTAAACATAAAACAACTGAATAAAACCTTTTCACAACTCCTTACAGTATTCTGTCATAACAGTTGCCTAGAGGTACAGATGTTTCATTGTAGGGTTTTTAGATAAGTTCCTTTGTTTAAACATTAAGAGATAAAGGAGCATAACATGGAAACAACTCTGCATCAAGTTACGCAGTATGCACACAATTTTACATTAAGATAGTTGACTCCTTTTCCTACCCAAGTTACTGCTTCTGGGGCCAATTTTTTTGCATCATTTTCTATTTGGTTCAGTTAAAGAAAAGCTATCAATTTTCTACATTTATTACTATACAAAAACTTAGCCAAATACAAGAGAAAGTTAATTCCAGCTGATCGTGCACGTTACAGTTAATTTTTCTTTCATATCTTTCTTAAGTGAGCGACCAGCTGTCAGTTTCCACCTGAAAACAGCTTCAGGTCAGCTCCTAACATTTAATGAAGCCCACAGAACTCAATGGAATGCCATACGCCTCCACAAACAGTTGAAATGAAAAGTTAATCAACACTATACTGTGCATGTTAGGATCTTGACATTTTTAAGAGTAGAAATGAAAGCAGCGTTTCAAGTCATTCAAATGGCAACCTGAAGCTAATCTGCATTTTGATTGCAAAGTGACAGCAGTCCTACCACCAAGCACGTGTTTCTGGCAGCAGCTTGGATTTCAGAACTTGCAGCACTCTTTTCACCCCATGACATCCTACAGATCAGGGCAGTCGATTACTTTAGGAGACACTGATGACAGCACAGCAAGCAGCCCTCCTGCTGCCTCCTAAAGCAGGAGTATCTCTTCAGAAACCGACTTGTAACCTGCCCGAGGTTGGTGCAAGCCATTTCCAACACGGAGGGCAGGGAGCAGCCGCAGCTCCGCGTTACCTTCTCGGCGATGCTGTACAAGACTTCATCCATCTTCATGCAGGTCGGGTCCCAGTCGTGCCCGAAGCGGATCACCACGACTCGGTCCTCCTCGGAGAGGATGGCCTGGTCCACCTGCCAGCC